ATCCTAATACTGCTACTAATCCTAACCTAATCCTAATACTACTAATCCTAATACTGCTAATCCTAATACTGCTAATCCTAATACTAATACTGTTAATCCTAATACTGTGCCTAATACTGTTAATCCTAATACTGTGCTGCTACTAATCCTAATACTGCTACTAATCCTAATACTGCTAATCCTAATACTGCTAATCCTAATACTACTAATCCTAATACTGCTACTCCTAATACTGCTAATCCTAATACTACTAATCCTAATACTGCTACTAATCCTAATACTGCTAAATCCTAATACTGCTACTAATCCTAATACTGCTACTAATCCTAATACTGCTGCTAATCCTAATACTAATCTAATACCTAACTGCTAATCCTAATACTACCCTAATACTGCTACTAATCCTAATACTGCTACTAATCCTAATACTGCTGCTGCTGCTGCTGCTGCTGCTGCTGCTGCTGCTGCTGCTGCTGCTACTGCTACTACTACTACTACTACTACTACTACTACTACTCCTCCTACTACTACTACTACTACCCTTCCTACTACTACTACCCTTCCTACTACTACTACCCTTCCTACTACTACTACCACTACTACTACTACTACTACTACTACTACTACTACTACCCCCCTACTACTACTACTACTACTACTACTACCCTTCCTACTACTACTACTACCCTAACTACTACTACCCTTCCTACTACTACTACCCTTCCTACTACTACTACCCTTCCTACTACTACTACCCTTCCTACTACTACTACCCTTCCTACTACTACTACTCCTCCTACTGCTGCTACTCCTACTACTACTACTCCTTTGCTTCTGCAGATTAATTTTACTATCAATGAATATAGTTTTTAATTGCCTACAAGACTATAATTTTAAGATTTTCTCTGATTCCGTGTAGTAAGAAACTTGGAAAAGTTTGATGTGGCACAATATTAAATCACTTCTTAGAAGGTATGTGAATGCCCTCCCTCACACCCTTTTTGTACTTTTTTTTTTAGCTGTTAATTACCTCATATAAAAAAGAATTACAAAAAAATCTTTGCCCCTTGAATCGGGTTGCTTTAAGGATATCACATGGACTAAAATACAGGCATTAGGCTTACGTAAATGCCCACTCTGCCGGGTGTGCAGCATGTAGGACAAATGAACACGGACTCTCATGTGCAGTGACAAGACTATGCCTCCCCTTTGCAAAGTTATTTAACAAAACAGTTTTTAATTTTATTGCCATTTTCCAATGTCCATATTTGTCTTTTGATTTGCTTTATCCAGACTGTTTTCCTTGCAAAGACCAAACTATCTCTCAGTGAAAAAAAATGTAACATTTTGTTATCTGTCTCATATATCATTTTTTTTTGTAATATTCAATTTTCTAAAATTCAACCTGCTCCATTGGTCATAGCAGCCAGGCATAGGATGTTGAGCATGGGCTCCTAGATCGAAGGGGTTAAAGTATAGAATGCATCACTATACATTTAACTGTATATAAAAGTGATGAAAGGCCATGTACTAAGAACTTGTAAGCATAAAGGCAGATTAATTAAGGTTGCTGCACAGACAGGCATTCATTGAGGTAAGGTAGGGCTGAGCTTTGTCATGAGAGGTGCATGAGGACAGTCTCCCCAATTTTCTGCAATACATTTTCTGATAAATGTAAGCATATTAATTTTTGTACCATAATTCGAATTTAATCATTCTCTACACGAATGGGACATCAGACTCACTTTAACTATGTCCAGTAATCTTATCTACACTTACTGATATAACACCAATTTATCTATCAATTTCCTAATTTCAAATAGTGTCTACGGTGAAAGTGTCACTGTCATATAATAGAACTATATGTATGGCAGAATATGCATACTACTTACTGGTTTACTTACCATTACTGAGGCAAAAAATACTGATCTAGTACTAGATTTAGAGATACAAGCAGATATTTTACTTTCTACGGATCATTATCTATAGTTACTTAGGTGATGGTTTCTAAAACTAAGACACCTCCTTTTACTCTGAGAATTATTGGTGGACTGCAGATATATAGCAATTCTGATGGGAGCAGTAACAAAAAGCATGTTCTTACCATATATTCCCTAGATAGGGATTTCTGTACCTCAGTGATATTTGTATATTTCCTAGCCAGGGAGCTCTGCCCTTGATCTTCATGGTCCTTAAACAATATGATTTAGCCATAAACCCCACCTTACTCCTAGGCTCTACCCTCCTGACCCTCGAGGTATTTACACAATATTATAAACATTTATTGCCTACCCAGGTGGCTCTTCTCCTGTTAAATAAATTTAATAATATAAATTACTAAAAATTAGTTTCTTTATACATAAATTTGATATTTGATAGACACATACCTTTCCATAAAGTTATAATGGCATGATATATATATTTTTTTTTGCATCTGTCTTCTCCCGAACTGCTTGGTATCTATTTTGCTTTTTGAAATTGTTGACAGTCCAAGTGCAGTAGCTATGGCCTAATCAGCAACTCCATATAACAAACTCTATTCAACAATCTAAATCACCAATACAGGGCATGCCCAAACTGCCCAATACATGGCAAGGCAGACCTTAAATTCAGAAGTACAGAGTGGACTTTGGCTGTAAGTATCTTCCACATTCTTTTTCCTTCATTTTTGGTATTACCACTCGCATCTAGATTATTCCTTGTTCTGACGGCTACACCTTTTTGGCCTCTACAAGAATATCTCTAATATACCCTAGCTTAGTGCATCCATATCTTAAAAATGAACCTTGCATCTTTTAAACAATCAGGACAGTTAAAGGGCTCTGATACCAAACTATATGGTGGATACTGTCTATTTTTTCTGCAAGGCAATTACATATCATAAAAAAAGACTCATAATCCACTCAAAAATGTAAACAAAGCTTTTCTCTCCAGCACTTGTCAAGGAATGAATTTTTGCAGTTTTTCAAAATCCCATAAATTTTGTATGCATTTATCAAACATAACCATTAAAGTCCCCAACCCCACATCAAAAAATATATTCATCAATCTAAGTTGCCATGACTGGGCGTGTCGTTTGGGCACTGCCCAAGAGGAAGGTTTAAGGGGGCTTCTACTATTTTAGGTGATCCAGAAAATTCTTGATTTCTACACAGTTACTACAGTTGTCTTCTTATTGGTTAAGGAGAAGATACAATAATTCAAAGATAGCATGGACAGAGTTGCAAATGGCACTTGGTACTGACATACCCCATGTCATGGGCTCATCAGAGCCTATGGTATCACTATTAGACACAGGTATATAAAGTACAAGGAGATTTTCAACTTTTTCAAACTCATATTGGTAATTCATTACAGTACTCGTGCATTCATCAGACACTAAATTCTCAACTCCATGTCATTTTTCTTTTTTCAACAATTTAAGTTCTCACAATGGGGCTTTGGCTGTGAGCTGCGCCTTCCTTGATCTTTCCTTTGATATGTGACATTACCATTCATTTCTGTAGATTAAGTTTTGTACCAAAAACTATTACATTTGGTCCTTTATAAGAATATCATTTTCAATCAGCACTAGCTTCGTGCATCATTATTGTAAAGATTGGCCTTCATGTTTATAAAATACACCTACAAACCCACATTACTATCCACTGGGTAATTTTAAGACTGCAGTTAATGGATGAATTTTCTGGTTCACACAGCCATCTAATCTTGCAATTATTATTCTTTCTTTCAAATATCCACACTGTAATATGCTTGAATCTTGTTATCTTCTGTTGCAAATGATATAAATGAAAGTGATTGCACCTCTCAGATTAAGCCCTATTACTCAAGTCATTCCTGGGAATTCCACCAACATTGCCGTATGAACACAAAACCTTCGTAGCTCACCTCCAGACTCCCCACTCAATCACTATGGTTTTGCTCTCCGTGCGGCATTTGCTGCCATCTTTTTTTCCATTTCTAATATTATTTTCTGTCTATGCAGATTAATTCATGTATTAGTAGGCTTAGCTTTACTCTTCGATTATTACAGTGCCATTACATTCTGCTTTAAAAGTATACTAAGGAATTAAATGTTGCACAACTTTATTATAAACTTGTGAAGGTAGTAGCTCAGATGAAAAGTTTCTCATTTTCCGTCATTCGCACTAACAGATGCAAATTTTCCCCTTTACCACATGAATGTAGGACACAAACTAAACCAATACTTTACCAAAGTCAATACAGGTTTTCCAAATGCAAACAAAAGCTAACAAACATTCAATAATACTCGAGGGGATAAACATGGAATGGCACAAGAATACCTGGGAATGAATGCAAGAAAAAGAAATAACAGCAAACCTTAAAGAATATACTCTTATACTCACAAGCAGTTTTTCATACTATACAAACACTAAACTCAAGATGCCAATAACCTCTGTAAGAGTGCATTGACATCTAGGACAGTGGCATATTTAGCACTTTTAAAGTGAACAGATCTATGAATATGTAATGATTTTTATATAGGAGAGCATCAATACCAAATGAAATTCCAAATATGCAACTTCCTCAATTAACAGAGCTACCATTTGTTATATAACACCCTTTTCGTTTACCAAAACTGTCTTCTCATCAAATGCTGTTAAATGTAGATAAAATAATTGTAAACGCCAGGTCTTTATCCCTAAGGCTAACAAACAGAAACATGTGAAAAGCCAAAATCTCAGCGCTACCAACACCCGAGAGAAACCCTAAGCAAAAATGCATAATAAAATGCATTTTCACTGTCGGGCAAAATCGTATTATTTTCCTTCAAAACACTTCCGCGAAGCTAGTTCGAGACATTCAAAAAATTGATATAGGTTTATTTCAGCTTACACTTAAGTTATGAGTTACAGAAATTGTGGATAATGGAGCAGACGAAGAGGAAAAATAGATAACAGATAACATAAATAAACACTAACTACACAAGACTTGCACTTTGGAGAAGCTGTCATCGTTCCACCTTCTCGTGCTCTTACCTCCTCCACTGCCATCGGACGAACGGAATATCTTATAGATGAGGACGGTACAGACACCCAAGAGGAACACATTAAGTGGGGAGGTGAATATTTCTTTGAGTAGTGAGCCCAGGAAGGACTCTTCGCTGGAGACGGCGTCCGCTCCCTCGTCCGCCATGATAGTCGAGTGACTTCGCTCCGACACTCGCCGCCTCGCTCCCCCTGCTCCCGAGGGGCCCCCTGCCGTTATCAGGAACGAGCCTGACTTTTGGCTATATTTTGATGTGATTAATATAAAAAAATACCTTGGGCTTATGATTAAATTGGATTGACCTACGGGGAAAAAATCATGAGTTATATTTCCACCTTTACTGGGAGAGTTGATGCTGTAGATTTTTTTTAACTATTCTCTTGATTTTGCTTTTATATACTGCACATGTTTACCTTAATGACTTATTTATATGTCAGTGATAATTAGAGTGATATTTTCGCCTACTTTTAAATAATCATTGCTCGTGTAATAGTATACTTTCTATTACGTTTTCCATTTCCTCAACATCCTAACCACTCCCGTAGTGTCTTAACTATGTAATGTTGTGTAGTAGCGTCATCTTTAAACCTTGAAGTGTTTACCATCTTGAATTCTCAAAGAATAAACAAATTTCACGCGAAACAATTTCCACATTAATGTAGACCACCAATAAAAAGCAGGTCATCCCATAATTCACCCTTTTCGAACGCTCGACGTAATTTAAGCGCATTCGCCCCAGCGCCTTTTGGACGCTCGAATTTAAAGGTCCGTTCGCGCGTTCACTGTAGACTGACCTTGGGTGGCGACTTCACACGGAACATCGCCCGGTTCAGGGAGGACAGACCGGCCTGGTAACAAGTGTTCGTGGGCTCTTCGTCCCCTGGCAATAGACGTGAACTTTTCATGTCCAAGATAATGATGCCACTATATATCGATGCGACATACTTCGAGTTCGATTACTCCACACGGCGAAGGCTTTATCATCTAATCAGCTGTTGATAAACTAAAGTTTGATGCTTGTAATTATCGTGACTTTTTCTTGTGTGTGTGTGTGTGGGGTGTGCGTGCGTGCGTGCGTGCGTGCGTGCGTGCTGCCTGCTGCTGCCTGCCTGCCTGCCTGCTGCCTGCCTGCCTGCCTGCCTGCCTGCCTGCCTGCCTGCCTGCCTGCCTGCCTGCCTGCCTGCCTGCCTGCCTGCCTGCCTGCCTGCCTGCCTGCCTGCCTGCCTGCCTGCCTGCCTGCCTGCCTGCCTGCCTGCCTGCCTGCCTGCCTGCCTGCCTGCCTGCCTGCCTGCCTGCCTGCCTGCCTGCCTGCCTGCCTGCCTGCCTGCCTGCCTGCCTGCCTGCCTGCCTGCCTGCCTGCCTGCCTGCCTGCTGCCTGCCTGCCTGCCTGCCTGCCTGCCTTTCTGCCTGCCTGACTGTCAGTTAGCTAGCCTGCATGCATGCATGCTTGAACGCATGTACTTTGTGTATGCGTGTGGGTGATCGGAAGAGTTAAAGAGAAAGTAAGAGGGAGAGAGAAAGGGAGGAGTAAAGGAGACGGTAAGCGTGCGTGCGTGCTCACACACATACACCCATGCATATGCACCATTGTTTTAACAACTGGCCGTGATGTTTTCCCGCTAAACACGACTACAACAATAGTCTGTCTGTCTCTTACTATCAGATAGAAGAAACAATAGCAACGTAGCGATAGCATCTGAAAACATACACATACCACAGTAGGTATAAGATTAGTTCAAAGCACAGCCCTTTTTAAAAAATGTTCATCCTATTATTGCAAACAAAACCACTGGAAATAGCATGAAATGCCTGTTCGTTATCAAATATATTTTGGAAAGTGTAAACAGGGACATTTAGAAATAGCCTGTGCCGATACCCAGAGAATTCTGCTGAATCATACTTGCGTACTGGCGAGAGGGAAGGCATCTTTCTCTTTCGTTTAGATCCCAACGAAGCATACGAGAAGATAGTTACTTCCTTCTTGTATCTAAGTCATAATTAGACAGATAAAGCTATATCCTGTTAAATGATAAGTGAAAGTTACAACCTGTGTACAGAGAACGATTACTTTATCTGCTGGCGGCTTACAGGGTTCGTGATACACAACGGTTGGTTGGGAGAAAAGACGTAAAAGTAGCTGTTTATACGAAGGAAAAACACCAGGCTGAAATACTTGTAGTTTGTGCTACTGTATGCGATTTACGGGAACGAAACCAGGCAGTGTGAGTCAAGCCGACGGTGGTGTTGGTGGCCGGTACCCGATGCACAACCTGTTTCCATATTTGGATTACCTGCATGAATGAAAGGTTGAGATGAGGATAATTAATTACATCTCCAGCAAATGATGTGTACAAGCGGATGGATATCAGTCTCTATTTTCTTTTTACCTCTGCAATTGCTTGGCTTTTAAAATACGTATTTCTCACGTGTTATTGTAAAATCACGCTCAGGAAATTTTGATATAGAAATGAGCACTTCACAGTCTAGGCTCTTCTTGACCGTTGAAGAAGACCTTGAATCAAATTTGATATTATTTCAAGTGTGAATTCAGGAGCGCAGCACCTCTGACGTCACTCGGATCACCCTGACGTGTCTCGCTTACGCCTACGTAAGGAATATTAACAAGAAATGTTTTCAATACTGATGATATGAACTGATCGAAGCATTTCTCCCTATAATTATGAATGCTGACGCAACACGCATTTTTCCTCGCACAGATTGAGCAAACGATGCTTGATGCAATAAGCCAATAAACTTGCAAGAGACCGCGAATGATATTGCACACCGCTTGTTTCGTTCGATAAGGATATCGGGTACAGTAAATTAATAATCATGATAAGCTGGCCAGAGCGGAATTTTTGGGGTGAAGTTGCTGATTCTGCAGGCAGGAAACACGCCGTGATGACTACATTCAAAAACCATTGTTTAGAAACCTGCACGATTCGTGTTTCCGATGGTTAACTTTCAGATCGCTTAATTCAGTTTTAGTCAAAGACAAAGCCATCATAGGAAAGTGCAAATTGACCAAGGCAAGTCCGTCTCTTAGTAGAAAAGTTAATATTTCTTTTGAGAAGAAAATCAAATATATAATGAAATGAATATATCCACAATCGAAATATGATCCCAAATCTATCTTGGTAGTTACTTGATACCTACAGAGCAACAGGTTATAACTATGGACAAAGTCACGTGTAACGGTGACTTTCAAAAAAAAAAAAAAAAAAAAAAAGTAATCGTGTAATGATGACTCAAGAAAAAAGTAATCAGCTTATGTCTTCATCCATACTTATAGTCTCACTTTATTTGTATATCTAAAGACGAATGTACAAACAAACAATCAAACAAAAACATACATAGAAACAAACATACACCCACGTACAAACAGACCACTTAAGCAGCCCTTGCCTATCGAGCAGGCCGGACTTGAAAAGTATTGTTCAAAATTTGCATGACATCAAGATTGTTATTTGAAGATCATTCCACTTGCCATGTACTTGCATATTTACTTATCTATTTGTATAATTATCTATTTACGCACAAACAAATACACATAAAAAACGTATACACACACACACACACACACACACACACACACACACACACACACACACACACACACACACACACACACACACACACACATATATATATATATACATACATACATATATATATTATATATATACACACATTATATTATATGTGTGTGTGTGCGCGCGCGTGCGTGTGTACACACACACACACACACTATCTATCTATCTTCTATCTATATCTATATATCTATCTCTCTCTCTCTATATATATATGTATATATATATATATATATATATATATATATATATATACATATATGTATGTGTGTATGTAAATGTATATGTGTATATATATGTATATATATATATATATATATATATATATATATATATAATATATCATGCATGTGTGTGTGTGTGTAGGATAGATAAAAAGGGCATGAACCATAGTTTCAGAACACAATGATTCGAGTCTGACGTGTGTGTAATATCCTGTCCATTCTGACCTTCCCGCAGACGCCACTTTTGTTGCTCTTTGTCTGGTTATGTATTTGCATATAAACTTAACAAAGCCAGTATTGTACTGTGCCAGGTTCTAATGGGAAGTGTCTGAGGGAGTTTTCTTCGCTCTCCATTGCCCTATTCCCTTCCCTCTTTCCTCTCCTTCCTTTCCGTCCATCTCTACTCCTCTCTGCCAATCCACCGCGAAGTTCAGCGCAATAATCTTAACGTATCTGAAAGAACCTATTCTTATTTATCTTACTGCAGTACCAAAATAAACGTTAGACCGGCATTCACCGCCGACTATGTCAGCCTTGCGCGGCATGACTTCCCCTGGCAACACCTTCGTCTGAAAGACGGTGAGGAGGTGAGGGAGGAGGTGAGGGAGGGAAGGAGGAAGGGGAGGAGGCACTACTGTGGCGACCTGTGCATGGTATCTCTGTAACATCCGCATGTGCATACCGGATGCTGACCTCCGCTGAGTTTCTTCCATTTTACTTATATTGTACATTTTACACGTTTGTCTACTTTGCATGTGTACCCACGTTGCATATATTTATTTGTATGATAATACTGAATGCTTCGTAAATGATTTTACGATGTGTATGGCTGAAGTTACCAGTAATATGACTGTTCCTGTCCTATACTGAAAGATCACGTATTTCCGTAGCTGATATGCCTTTATCCCTTTATCAGATCTACGCTTTATTGCATCAATAAAAAAGACGTGAGGCCAGAATCGGTCACAGTGTCTTATTTTACCCCGCCTGATTCTGTTCAGCGAAACCCCCACCCACACACCCTCCTCGGTACACATAACTCTGAGCCAACGCGTCAAAACTCTTTAATGTGGATTAGGACACGTTTGCTTGGAAAGACCTCGCATCGAGAGCTTTCATTAAAAGTTTCCTCCAAAGTGTGACTCGTCATTTTATCAGATCATAAGCGTCGGAGATTTATCTCATCATACTGTGATATCGCGTATATTTCAGTAATTCATACTTCGCCAGTTGTATATCTGTAGCGATGTGTATCTAACCTGTTGGCGAACCGCGATGCTAATCTTAGCATTAATGAATACACGCAACCATTCCCCTAGCTAACGCGGATGAGAGTGTAAAAACCTAATCTGTTACCACGACACCTG